CCCTAGTAATTTAACACGTTAATTAAAAGAACAGAGAAGTAATATTTAATAGAAATTTCTATTGACGATTGAATAAAAAATATACTTACAAGCTGGTAATTTGACACGTAAGTGAAGAACAGAGAAGTAATATTTAATCTATTGACAATAAAATGTGTACATTATTTTATAAATAAGCTATATACTTACATACTGGTAATTTAATATTTAAGTGAAAATAACAGAAGTAATGTTTAATAGATTTCTATTGATGATAAGATGTGTATATTATTTATGAATAAACTATATACTTACTTTCTGGTAATTTAACACGTAAGTGAAAGAACAGAGAAGTAATATTTAATAGAGAATTTTACTGACGATAAATGTGTACATTAATTGTTTTATGAATAAACTATATACTTACGCCCTAATTTAACACGTAAGTGAAAGAACGGAGAAGTAAATTTTAATAGTGAATTCTATTGACGATAAAAATATATATATTATTTTTGAATAAACTATATACTTACATACTAGTAATATAATATGTAAGTGAAAAGAACAGAGAAGTAATATTTAATAGATATTTCTATTGACAATAAAATGTGTATATTATTTTATGAATAACTATATACTTACAAACTGGTAATTTAATACGTAATTGAAAGAACAGAGAAGTAATATTTAATAGAGATTTCTATTGACGATAGAATGTGTACATTAATTATTTTATGAATAAACTATATACTTACGCCCTGGTAATTTAATATGTAAGTGAAAGAACGTGTTTAATAGAGAATTCTTATGAATAAACTATATACTTACGCCCTGGTAATTTAACACGTAAGTGAGAAGTGATATTTAATAGAGAGTTCTATTGACAATAAAATGTGTACATTATTTTATCAATAAACTATATACTTACAAACTTATAATTTAACACGTAAGTGAAAAGAACAGAGTAGTTATATTTAATAGAGAATTCTGTTGCCAGTAAAACATGTACATTATTTTATGAATAAACTATATTTACAAACTGGTAATTTAACACATAAGTGAAAGAACAGAGAAGTAATATTTAATAGAGATTTTTATTAACGATAAAATGTGCACATTATTTATAAACTATATACTTACAAACTGGTGATTTAACACGTAAGCAAAAGAACAAAGAAGTAATATTTAATAGAATTCTGTTGACGATAAAATGCGTAAATTATTTTATGAATAAGATATAATTACCGTCTAGTAATTTAACACGTGAGCGAAAGAACGGAAAAGCAATATTATAGAAAATTCTATTGATGATAAAATGTGTACATTATTTATAAAATATATACTTACAAACTGTAATTAACACGTAAGTGAAAGAACAAAGATGTAATATTTAATAGATATTTCTATTGACGACAAAATTTGTATATTATTTTATGAATAAATTATATACTTACAAGCTGGTAATTTAACACGTAAATGAAAGAACAGAGAAGTAATTTTTAACAGAAAATTTTATTGACGATTAAATGTGTACATTATTTTATTAATAAACTACTGTATATACTTACAAACTTATATTTAACACGTAAGTGAAAAGAACAATAGCAATATTTAATAGAGATTTCTGTTGACATCAAACCATGTACATTATTTTATGAATAAACTATATACTTACAAACTGGTAATTCATGTAGGTGAAAGAACAGAGAAGTAATATTTAATAGAGAATTCTATTGACGTTAAAATGTGTACATCATAAACTATATACTTACGCCCTGGTAATTTAAAAGAACAGAGAAGTAATATTCAATAGAGTTCTATTGACGATAAATGTGTACATTATTTTATTAACATACTATAATTACCGTCTAATAATTCAACACGTAAGGGAAAAACAAAGTGATATTTAATAGAGAATTCTATCGGCGATGAAATGTGTACATTATTTTATTGATAAACTATATACTTACGCCCTGGTAATTTAACACGTAAGTGAAAGAACAGAGAAGTAATATTTAACAGAGGTTTTTACTAACGATAAAATGTGTACATTATTTATATACTTACAAACTAATGATTTAACACGTAAACGAAAGAACAAAGTAACATTAATTGAGAATTCTCTTGACGGTAAAATGTGTACACTATTTTATGAATAAATTATAACTACCGTCTAGTAATATAACACGTAACGAAAGAATAGTGATGTAATGTTTAATAGAGATTTCTATTGACGATAAAATGTGTATATTATTCATAAATTATATACTTACTCCCTGGTAATTTAACACGTAGGCGAAAGAGCAGTGAAGTAATATTTAATAAAGAATTCTATCGACGGTAAAATGTGTACATTATTTTATGAATAAACTATATACTTACTTTCTGGTAATTTAACACGTAAATGAAAGAACAGAGAAGTAATATTAAATAGAGAATTCTATTGACAATAAAATGTGTACATGATTTTATGAATACTTACCCCCTAGTTATTTAATGTGTGAGTAAAAGAACAGAGAAGTAATATTTAATAGGGAATTCTATTAATGATTAAATGTGTACATTACTTTATGAATTAACTATATACTTACGAACTGGTAATTTAACATAAGTGAATATTTAATAGAGAATATAGAGAATTCTATTGACGATAAAATGTGTACATTATTTTATGAATAAACTGTATACTTACAAACTGGTAATTTAACACGTAGGTAAAAGAACAAAGAAATAATATTTAATAGAAATTTCTATTGACAATAAAATGTGTACATTATTTTTATGAATAAAACTATATACTTACGCCCTGGTAATTTAAAACGTAAGTGAAAAGAACAGAGAAGTAATATTTAATAAAGATTTCTATTGACGATATACTTACACCCTGGTACTTTGACACATAAGTAAAAAGAACAGAGAAGTAATATTTAATAGAGATTCTATCGACGATAAAACGTGTACATTATTTTATGAGTAAACTATAATTACCGTCTAGTAAGTAATTTAACACGAAGCGAAAGGACACAGAAGTAATATTTAATAGAGTTTTCCATTACAATATATAATGTGTACACTATTTTATGAATAAACTATATACTTACTCCCTAGTAATTTAACACATAGAGAAGTAATATTTAATAAATTCTATTGGCGATAAAATGTGTACATTATGAATAAGCTATATGCTTACAAACTAGTAATTTATGAAAAGAACCGAGAAATAACATTAATAGAGATTCTATTGACTATAATATGTGTACTTTATTACAAGTAAACTATATACTTACTTCCTAAAAGGTAAGTGAAAGAACCGAGAAATAATATTTAATATTTAATAGAAGATTCTATTAGAGTTAAAGTGGTACATTATTTTATGAACAAACCATATACTTACGGACTGGTAATTTAATACGTAAGCGAAATATCAAAAAAGCAACCGTAATATTTAATAAAGAATTCCATTAATGATAAAATGTAAATCTTGCCCTACATATACTTACTCTCTGGTAATTTAATATATAAATAAACAAAAAACGGAAATAATATTTGATGGGGTGTCTATTGATGACAAATAAGGTATTTTATGAATATACAAAACTCTATACTCACCGTCTGTTTTAACACAAGTGTAAAGCAGAGCAATAATGCTTAATAATTATATTGACAATAAATTGTGTAGAAATAAACTCTATGCTTACGGACTGGAATTTTAGCATACAGTATAAGTGAAAGAACATATTAATAAAAAAAGTCTACATATTGTGATAAAATATGTAAATCTTTGCTATGAAGTTATAGTAAGCAAATTATCGCCTATCTTGTCAACAGCCATGTGTTTGCGAATTTTTTGCTCTATACTATGGATCTCAAAATCCAGAAAATTATAAATTAACGAAATTATTGAAGCTATTTTTGCAACAGTGATGGTAAATGGCCTGGTCATTTGAAATTTTCTAATGGCTCAAGTGACTTCGAAATGAACGGTCATTATCGGTCATTCAAATTTTGGGTCATTTGAAAATGACTCGATCAAATGACTATGGTCCTTAAGCATTATAGAGATGACATCTCGGACTTAATTTTTCAAACTTTTTTGAAGAAACTGTATAATACAATACTCAGACATCAGGAAGTTTTGAGGGTGTTAATTAACAGGTTAATGCATTGTTAACAAACACTACATAGTATAACGATACCATTTTTATTAATAAAATTGGTGTTAAACAATAAGGCTGTGATAAATAGCTATTTATCACACCACTATAGTTTAACACTAATTTTATTAATAAAAAGTATTATTAAGCAATGCGCCACACCTGTTAGTTAACGCCCCTCAAAACTTCCTGATGGATACATTAATGTATGGATAGAGATGCGACCCGTTATCCGTTTTCATATTTAAAATTTAACAAATATTCGGTTATCCGGATACTGTTCACAATTTTATTATGCCGTAAAATTATAAAATCAAAAAAAAAAAAACTGGCGGATATCCGGATCGCATCGCTAAATCAAGAAAAAGGAACTTGTGCTGCAACATCTATATACTATACATGGTTTTTATTTTAAGTAATATTGTATAGAGTTTATTGATGCAAAAATGTGCATAGTTTGCATAAATAACCATCGTAATCTCTATATAAAGTTACTTTAAAAAGGATATATGTATAGTGACTTTTGAAACACCAGGTGGAGGGAAGACCTTGAAAACGACCTAAATTACCTAAGCATTTAGACTTTGAAACGATTAATTAATACTCATTTGTTGTTTTGGTCACTTGAGACATTCCAGGTCATCCATCACCATTGTACTGGGGTTCTGCAGATGCCGGGCTCGATCTATTAAAACATAGTGTACAGTACAGCATTTGCAGAATACTACTTTTTAACCTTATTCTATCTTAGAAAAGCAATGGTGTTTGTAAAACGAACTGTTGAGATTTTGAATTTTCTGAATTTTAAACAGGATCCTCTACTACATTCGTTAAGATAGAGAAAGTTTAAAAATTCTTTTGCAAACTCTACTTTGTTTCTTCTAGTAACTCTCCATGTTTTTTAGCCAAATCTGCTTTATCATCATCTTGGTCGGTATCTTGTTCTTCCTGTAACTCTCGTAATACATGAGTTTTTGCCGATGGCTCTTTTTTTATCATTCTAATAGTCTGAAATAACTTAATTAATAAAGTCACAAACCCATTTTTTTGATATATTTTACTATGATATATACTCTATTAAGATCTTCCTCAAAAATAAACTGCCCGATTGTGACTTTTTGAATCGGAGTAAGATAAATACACCAATGTATTTGGTACTTAAAGTCGTTCTTTGATTCATCATCACTATTATCATAATCATTATAATCACCACTATTATATTCATACTTTTTTTCATCACCATTTGGTTCAATGCAATTTGTAATATTTAACCGTATACTGTTACTATCATAAAATTTAATATGTGCTAAGAGTGACAAATCACTGTTTGATGATGGATATTTAAATGTATGAGCAAACACAGAATTTATAGGAAGTTTTGGTAGCATAGGTAGAGAAATAACACAATTATCCTCTTGATTTAGCGTAATCTCTTGAGAGCCAGCTCTTAAAATAATAAAGTTTTGACTACATAAATTTTTGTAACTAAATTTAAGATTCATTCATATTAATAATAATTTCTGGGTCTCCAACCAACATCCAATTAATAATCATTTTACTAGAATCACTTGTTCTAAATAAAGAAATTATTAGCTTAAGAAATGGTTCTAATCAATATAACATTATAAAGATTATTCTTACTTTTTACCAATAGTTTTGATTATCACAGTAAAACCGAAGACATTTGTCGCTTTAAACTTAATAACTTTTTCGTTAATTTGTTCTCCAAATATTGATGTAATACTTCCATAAAGCTGATAATCGTTGCTTTTTAATTTATTTTTAAACCTAATACGATAATATATTACAGATGAATCAACTTGCACACTATCGGTCATGAGTATTTCTTGTTTGATATCTGACAATTTCAGGTATTTTGGATATGTATTTTTTAACAAAGAATGATGTGTTCTGAACATGTCATCTTCAATTGATCCTAAAGTTTTTAACAAAGAATATTTGTGCTCATGAGTTTTAAGAATTGACTTAATCCTACTGCAAATAGGTTCTTCAAAAATTTCATAAATTGCAACTAAATCTCCGTAACCAACAGCTTGTAAATTAGCATGATTTTTATAGCAAGACTCAATCCAACTATCAAATTTATCTCGTCCAATCATTTGGCCTTTGGGAGTTAGAAAACCATCATTTTTATTAATATGCACCGTCATGACTTCTAAACTTTTTGAGATTTTTCTGAAATTATCAATAGTTGTCCATTCTATTTTATCTTCTTTAATTTTATCTATTTTAGCATAATCTATTTCAGCGTAATTGAATAGCTTATGGCCTAATATAACTCGTTGAGCAATGAAGTTTCCAAAAATTGCAAAGACGTTCTTCAACTTTAAATAAGGGTCTGTTCCTTTAATGGCTCTATCTACTGCATTCTTAAATTCTTTTGATGGTTTAATAAATTCTTTTCTCATATGTAATTCAATCCTTTGATTTACAACGGTAAAACAAATGTTTCCTTTATTTAAATATTGGTCAGTAATGTTTGTAATTCTGATGGCAAATCTTCTACACGGGATACATCAACTTGATTCTTAATAATGAAAAAATCATTTATTCTTTCAGTAACTAAAAGTTCCGCCACGAAACTATCAGAATTATTCGGTATTGAAAACTTAATAGGTTGAATAAAGTCAAATGATTGGTGGTTTCCAAGTTTCACACCTTCTCTGGTAAAGCTTAATCCGTAATCCAATTTATAAATATCAATATTTTGTTTCACGTAGTCAATTTCATAGAACATGGCTCTAATATAATTGTTTGGTTATTAGACAATGAAACACTTGATATTTCACCAGAAGAAAGTTTGGAGGCTGTAATAAATAAATATTTAAAATAAATAAATTTCAATATCCTTGATTATATCGAACAAACTTACATGGTTTGTCAGACAAAACACGCATCACACCATTTTTAAGAATGTCTTCTAATGTAACAGACTTTTCAAATTCTAAATGAACTTCTTGAAGATTCTCTTTTTTCGAATCTTCTCTTAAAAAAATAAAATTCGGAGATATAAATTTTTTTCCAATTAACTCATTACGAATGTCAGACAAGTTACTGTTAAGTTTGTTAATAGAGACAAATTTTTTAATCCTTTTTCCGTCGTATATTGTAATTAATAATTCTCGCTCCACATATAGTTCACTTTCATTGCTAATGATATCAGATATTTTCATATCGGAGTTAAGCAATTTGTCTCTCGGGCCAAGTTTTATCTTACCAACTTCTTCATCATTGAAAATAAAGAAAAACTTATATCTAGGATCATCGGAGTCGAGTTTTATTATTTGATCATAGGCTTCAGAAAGAGTTTGACTATCTAATGTTATTTCGCCATATGACTTTTCGTTAACTATTAGTTTCACCATGTTTTTAACTTTCCTGTCTTTAATAAAAGGCTAAATATTTCAGGACAAGAAAAAAAAATTGTTACGCACGTGCGTGCATGCGTACTTAAATGTGCTCACTGCTGTTCCAAATTTAGTTATATCAAAAAAATCATGAGACTACAATACAGTACAGTATACTTTTTTAAGCGCCATATTCCTACAGAGTAATACAGTAATACCAATACGTAACTGGGCAGTCATCATTTCCCAAATAAATATCGTACTTCGAATCACAATATAAATGAGCTTTTGTAACGTTTTTCGTTCCCATTTATTAATTACTATGGAGAAACTCAAGAAAGCAAGAGTAATAATTAACACTGATTCTCCTGTTGAAATGATGTTAAATGACAATTTAACACTTTCTAATGCCCATAGCTTAATAATAGGAAGGCTAGACCCTAGTTTTAATGATCCAAGATATAAATTTTTTTTTAAAGCTCTTGGCGTTGATATTTTAGATATACAAGATTTAACTATATCAGATATTATCAACCAGAATTTAATTTATATGAAAAGGGTATTACATATTAAAGTTATAATCGATGGGTGTCTATCAAAGTATTATGATTTAGGCAGTCTCGATGATAATTTGTTTAATATCAGGCAGATATTACATGACGAACCAATTATACCATCATTCTTTAAATTCTTAAGAGGCGAACATCTAATATCAGAAACGGAAGAAAAGCATCATGGATTAAGGGAGATTCTTAACGGCTGCGATGAATTGTTTATTTATTCCGTCAACGAAAATTCCAATAAAAGTGTCACTATTTGCAAATACTTGCAATCGGATAAGATCGAAAAATACACGGAATATCTGCCGACGGCAGAGAAGCTTATTCAGATCAGGACACTTCTTAAAATGGGACCAAACTTTACTTTTCGCGATGGAGACAAAAAAATTAATCGATCCTCAGAAGCTTCTATTGGTTGGATAAACATAGCCTGGATCGAAAATGAAAAACTTCAGTTAAAAATTTATCAAGACAACGATCTAGAGTGGAATGAATTAGTTAGTCAGTGTGATATGGGATTCACATTTAAAGCTGGTCGAGTCCAATTAGCGAAATCTCAATCATTTACAATTGATTTAACAAAAATTAAACCAGAATTCGAAAAAGATCTTTATTCTGGAAATGCAATATTTACATGCGAACAGAAAATTGATAAATCATTTAACTTTTAATGGCGGAATAGCACCATCTTTACCTTTGTCCTACTTGCCATATTTTTCCTTACTTGCTAACGCATCAAACGAATCTAGTGAATCACACAGTAAAACAACCAAATATTCAAGTATTGTCATAAGCAAGGCAAAGTTAAGTCTTGATGAAACAAATATAATATTGGATAATAGTTTTATTGAAGAAGTAAATTCTGCATTAGTCGATGACCATTCGCGCAATAAAAAACTTAAAGAACTTGGAAGAATTTTAAAAAAATATGGACATTTCTATGCTAGTGAAGTCATTTTTGGAGGTGCAATCATCGAAAATTATGAGAATATTAGTTCACAAACCAAAGGTAAGCAGTCATTTCATTTATTTTATATATTTATATATGATTTAATGCAAACAAATACAATTGTAATAAGACTCTAGTAGCCTCGGCGTCAAGGTTGTTGGAGACTTTGAACTACTAGTTCACGCTGAAGGCGGATATGAATCCAATGATACCACATCAAAGACAGTAGATATGTCGAAAGAAATGTTAGCGATAATTGGTGGTGATGAAATTCTTTTTGTCAAGAATGATCCAGAAGCAATTAAATCATGGAGGAATTCATTTAATAATTCCAAGCATTGGCGAATAATCTCCTACAAGATACGACCAATATTTGATTTACTTGATAATGGTCTAAAAAACAAGGTACTTGAAGCTCTTGGAGAACAAATTCTCAAAGGTAAGTTTTACTTTTTAACAAAACGTAATTGTATATTTAGCTTTGATCTTAATAAATACAGTGTATCGTTTGTCTAACAAACTTATTCAAATAGTTGGAACAATAACCCATCATGCAGAACTTGAATGTTCAAACTTGAATCCAATTGTAATCGATAGTTGGAGTAATGGTATATTTGAAGATGTTACCTCGAACCCGCTTCAATGCCAAATATTAGCATCGATAATGAATAAAGACAACCACATCTATTCTTTACGAATTGAATATGTAGATGAAGATACTCCAGTATTCGTTATTCATTATCTTGGTAAGAGGAAAAAAAAGAAAAAAAAATATTGCGCAATACACATTGGTTGGGTCATTTTTGGTTACCCAGAAAAGTTTATATTTGAACAAAGAAATCATGATATTAAAATTACCAAAAAAAAATGTGAAGAAATGGCTAAAGTAAAAATAGACAATCATCTATCGTACAAATGCCCCATCGAGCAGTTTTTTAATCATTCTAGTAAATTAGGAATATGTGTAATTCAATGTCCTTCAGAATCCAGTAATTACGACGTATACCAGTCAAAGATGGTTACTGGTATTCATTTTTCTCCAGAGAAATTAGCATGCATGTTTGTTCATGACCTTGATGATTGCACTAATGTTGGTAATACTATTGATGAAATTTCTCCTTCGAAAATAATATGCAGGTAAGTATGTATGCACGTACGTTTTCTTGAATTGGATTTTTCACAAATTTAATCTCCATTTATAGTATTATTGACATCAAAGATAATAAATCTTGTATGCTGGAAGTAGAATGGAAAAACAGCGGTCGGCATAATCTTTTTTCCGATATCTCGAAAAAATTAATTGTCTGTGATGAACACAAAAAATATCTCACATCACTTCTAGAAGAATGTTTTAGGGAGGAAAGAATTGACAATCCACTATTCATGAGTATTTTTAATAATTGTAGCCAACATGGATTTATAAATATTACTCCAAAATGCCCAATTTACTTTATGTTAAATCGTACAAATAATACCCCATCAGAATTTAAAGGTCATATTTCAATATTATCAACGAAGTACAAGTCATCTCTTATATAAAGACACTTTTTTTATAATGCTATGTTTTAATAAAGTTTATTACGTAGTTAGGTAGCTGCGCGACGTTGTTGCGCTGGAACCAGGAACGGGATGTTTTATTTTGGGATGAGTGAATGAGTTTAATTATAATATAAGGCCTCCAAAATTATTTAGTTGGTTAACGTTAATATTTTGGATTCAGACGCGAGGGGGGAGGGGAAGATTTAAACAAACACACACATGCCCAAGAATATTTGATTAAATTTCATTGGTCAACTTTGACCACATGATTAATGAAGTCTTTGCTGTGTTGTGATTGACTTGTTTAACTTTGGGGATGAGTTAACCAACTTGAACGGCCTAAATACTCTGTATAACAAAAAAATAATTTTTTCATTTATTGTCTTATAAATTTGGGTTATAGATCAATTTTATAAATATTTTTGTCGACAATTTCGTCGGTCAATTTAGGGTTGGCCTAATATTGTTAGTATTGGCTAAAGATATATTTTTGTTGATGGCTCTCGTAATAACTTTAGCTACGTACGTACATAAATATAATTTAATCAACAAAACATTAAAAAATTGTGGTTAAAATATTTTTTGCGAATTGTTTGTCTGCTTTCCGTATTTTGTGATTTCAATCAGTGGTGGTGTATTCATTATTTAATGTCGCAGATGATTATGGTGAAATTTGTGGTCTCCTTTTGGAAATATAAACATTACTAAAATCTACTTATACTCTTTCTAAGTAACTCTAACCCTAAATTCTAATCTATCACTAAAAAAAGCTAGTATAATACACCCTAAAAATTTCATATTAAGGCCGTCGAAGTTAATTTTTCGGTTAACATCCCCCTTTGGCGTCCCCCAGTAAAATGAATATATAAAAAAAGTAAAAAATTAAAAATACCGTATAACCACAAAATTAGGGATTGGAACGTTTAAAAATTGCTCTATAGTTCCGGGCAGAATTATGTTGGTCGTGGGCCAGAATTATTTTAATGCCGGCCAAACTAAACGGTTAACGATTAAGAAAAATTTTAGGCGGTTCCAATCCCTACACAAAATAACGCGATGGGGTGTGGTTTCGAATTTCAGCCTAAATAAGCTCAATTCAGGCCGAAATTCGAAATAACTCCTATGCGCTATTTCGTGGTTATATGGCAAATATTGGTTGCTGCTTAATATAAATCAAATGAGTTGACTTACCCAAATTTATATGTAAAATTTGGCAAAAAAATAGGTTTCTTTAATTTACTCAAGAAAATGAATATAAAATATAATTTTAAATATGGGACTTATATTCTTTAGTATTTATTAAGTAGTTTTAAAAGAATCTTGAACTAAAGTTGTTTAATTCTTCTCTATGTTCTTTAAGTCAAATGACTGACTTACTTAAAATAATAATATGATTGGTTAACAGATAAAATTAAAATAATTTAAAATAAAATAATTTAATTTATTGTGTTTTCAAAATAGTAGAAATTTTTTTTCGAGTATACCTGCATACTGTATATCACAATATTGTTACTGGAAGACCTAAATCAAGGTGCTAATATAATTTGGTATACAGTATTTGGGAATGTTCAAAAAAAATTTTTCTTATTTTCAGCTATTTTGAAAACATGATAAAATAAAATAACTTAAAATAAATAATTTATTTTTTTTTATTTTTTATTTTTTATATTAAGCAATTCTTCTATTTATTTTATAAATTACTATAAGATTATTATACAAATAACAAACTAGGCGTTAATTTTTATTTTCCTGAAACCTGCCTTCCCGAAATACTATTTCCCCGATCTCATACTACTGAAATCTCTTTTTTCTGACAAGACATATTTCTGACAGTACATTTCACTGAAAAAAATTTTTACCGAATTTTTTTTTCCCAACACAGCCAATTCCTTGACAACCTGAATTTCTGAAAAAAATTTATTCAACTAGGGTTCCTAGGTTCAGTTCAGTTCAAATTTAGGTTCAATGAACCTGAACTGAACCTGAACCTGAACCACAAAT